ACCCATAGCCCTCTCCGATCCCCCTATGGGTATGGGTGTGTGTTGTTGGTTCGTCACAAATCCAGGATCATCTACCCCCGGTGGAGGCAACCCCTGGTGGTGGTGCTGGTGCCCACATCCAGGCCTCCAAGACCTGGGCCTGGGGGTCACTTCGTGGCCAGCCTTCGCTCGCTGCGCGGCCCTTGCCGGCGAGGGGGTAGGAGAAGACGGACGTGGCACATGTGGTGCCAGCCTCCGCATGATGGTGGGTCGGGGCCTCGGGGCCGCCGCGTGCCGATGCTGGGTCGGAGAGCTCCGCGTCTGGGGGAGGGATGGGCCCGTCTCGATGCTCCTCCCTCCTAAGCCCCTCCCTTGCTCCCTCCTCCTTTCCTCTCCCCTCCTCTCCTTTCCCCTTCTCTCCTTTCTACTGTCGCGCAATCTGAGTACTACTCTCCTCCCTCCCCTGAGCCTGTCCGGAGGATCCTGGGCCCCCCTCCGCGCATGTATTTTCTGTTGAATAGGATTGGGCAGAGTTGCTTCTCTCAACGTGTTGTTGCAGTGCGATTGTTGTCGGTGTGTCCATACGGTGCTCTCGCTGCAGCGCGGGCCTCATTTTCGGATTGACTCTGTGCTCCCGTCGTTCAGAGCGGCGCTCTCGCCCAAGCGCGGGCCACCTTTCCGGATCCGAGGCCTTTTTCGTCGTTGTTCCCTTCCTCATTTCCCTCGTCTGCCTTCCCCTGGTCCTCCTGCTCCTCCCACTCTTTCCCACTCCACTTCCTGCTGGTGCTTTTCGTCCTCGTCCTCCTCCTTTCTCATCCTCTTCCTTTCTCTCCTGCTCATCCCCCGGCTCACCCGCACCTCCTCCTCCTCCTCCTCCTCCATTATTTTTCCTTATAAGTAACTTCTCCCTGTCATACCCCGAGGCCAGTCGAAAGGGCGGGCCGGGCGTTTCCCCTGAGACTTTCTCACCATTTATGACCCTGAAGCTTAAATATTGGCAACAGTTTCACAGATGGAGGGCGTGACGTTTTCAAAATATGGCTCACGTCTTCGCGCCGCGCACATTCGTTTGAAACATTTGCAAGAGTTTCGCGACTTGAGGGCGGGTCGTTCTCAAAATGTGGCTCTCGCCTTAGCGCCGCAAACATTCGCTTTAACGATTTGCAAGAGCTTCGCGGATTGAGGGCTTGTCGTTCTCAAAGTGTGGTTCTCGCCTTACCGCCGCGCACATTCGTTTTGAACGATTTGCAGGAGCTTCACATATTGAGGGCGGCGGTTCTTTTCAACATGTGGTTCTCGTCTTAGCGCCGCGCACATTCCTTCTTAAACCTTCCAGGAGTTCCACGGATTCCCATGGTCAACGTAGCAGTTTTTTTTTGTGGGAAGACATTCAGGATTATGAGGACCCATCAGTTACGTTGATTCGCGGAGTCCCAGGAATGGCATTCTGGCACGAGTCAGGATCGTCAAGACGCAACAGTCAGGTTGATCCGTGGCGTTGGAGTCCCGAGAATAATGTTCTGCCACGCTTCAGGCTCTTCAAACGTTTGTTTCCTAACGAGGCAGTTCCATCAGTGGAAATGAAACGTTGTAGGGACCTGTGAAGAGGGAGCTTGGAGGGAGGGTTTATTCAACATCGTTGATGACTCTTGGGTTTACACTGGTCGTCGTCGTCCTCTTCCTCCTCATATGTACGCAGCTCCCCCTTTCCGATATGCGCACAGCACGATGTGGTCTTTTTTGGAGTTCCATGTCTGGCTTGCCTCTCCTCTCCTCTCCTCTCCTCTCCTTTCTCCCCCCTCTTCCTTTCTCCTCTGCCCCACCCCTCCCTCCCCCCCTCCTCCCTCCTCCCCCCTCCCCCCACGCCCTCCTCACTTTTTCGGCCAGTGCACCGCCCTGCCCTTGACCCCTTAACGCGACCGAGCCCGCCACAGACACAGCAATGGCCAACTACAAGGTCTGCGTGGTCGGCGGCGCGGGCGGCATCGGGCAGCCCCTGTCGCTGCTGATGGCCATGGACCCCAACGTGTCGGAGCTGTGCGTGTACGACCTGACCCTGGCGATGGTGCCCGCGGAGGGCGTGGCGGCTGACCTGTCGCACCTCAACCACAAGGCCGTGGTCAAGGGCTACGCCTTCGACAAGGACGACCGCGCCATCGACAAGGCCGAGGAGTGCCTCACCGGGTGCAGCCTCGTGCTGATACCCGCGGGCGTCCCGCGCAAGCCCGGACAGGACCGCAAGGATCTGCTGAACATCAACGCGGGCATCGCGAAGAACATCGTGGAGGCCTGCGCCAAGTTCTGCCCCGACGCCGTCGTGGCCTTGATCGTCAACCCGTGAACTCGGTGGTGCCGGCGATGTGCGAGCTCTGGAAGAAGAAGGGCCTGAACCCGAAGAAGATCGTCGGCATCACCACGCTGGACTGCGTCCGCGCGGAGAAGTTCGTGCACGAGGTCACCGGGCAGCCCGTCGGTGGCATCTCCATCCCGGTCATCGGGGGGCACGCGGGCACCACGATCCTGCCGCTCTTCTCCCAGGACGCGGCGGGGGCGACCATACCCGCGGACAAGGTCCCCGACCTGGACAAGAAGGTGCAGGACGCGGGCACCGTCGTGGTGGCCGCGAAGAACGGCAAGGGCAGCGCCACCCTCTCCATGGCCTTCGCGGGTGCCCGCCTCGGCCGGGCCGTGCTGTCCGGCCTGGCCGGCACGCCCGTGACGGAGTGCGCCTACGTGGAGTCCACGATCACGGACCTGCCGTACTTTGCTTCCAAGGTGGCCCGAACAAGTTTAACAACAGTATAACAACAGTATCGTATGCCTGCATGTGCAGGTCTGTGTGTGTGTGTGTGTTAATTGTATGTATTCTGTGTGTGTATGTGTGTGTGTTATTTGTATGTGTTCTGTGTGTGTGTGTGTGTGTGTGTGTGTGTGTGTTCTAGTTACGTGTAACTGTATACAGAATTTTGCCTGCAAGGTGACCTTCGGCAAGGACGGCGTGGAGACCGTGCACGACCTGGGGCCCCTGAGCGACTACGAGAAGGGGCGCCTGGAGGCGCTCAAGCCCGTGCTGAAGGAGGAGATCGCAGCGGGGCTTGAGTACGCCGCAGCCAACGAGTTCGCCGCCTGAGCCTGGAGGGCTTCGGTGGCAAGTCGTTGGATCCTCGTGTGCTCTCGTCGTTCCGTTTCTGGAGCTCGCTGGCGTCGCTCAGCGTCTGGTACAATCGAGGAGACGGCGCCGGTTCAGCTCCGATTAGCGTCGACTAGCGTCGACTCGGTATCGATCTGGCGTCGATGCGCGTCGACCCGCGTCGATCAGGGGGAAACCAAACCGCTGCTCCCAGGACCTCTCCTGGGGTGCGCTCTGACCAGGATCTCGAGGCGAATCCAGCGGTGGCGACGCCGGAGGCCCAGGAGGTCCAAAAAGAGGAATTTCCTCTTTTTGGACCTCGGTCGTGTTTGTTACTTGTGGTTGGGTGCTGTTGTATGTTGCTGGTGTCGGGTTAGCTTTCGCGGCTGTTTGTTGCCCATGAGGAGGGGGGCAACCGCTCGCTTCAAGCGGCAGCGCGGCGGTCTCAGATCGGCCTCATCGGAAATTTCACCCCCCGAACGGCGAGTGTAACTTGTTGAGGCAGTAGGAAAACTGGGGGAGGGTGGAGGTGCGGGTATCTTTCCCTCCTCTGGGCTGAGCATCGATCCGCCAGGCCCCCACGAGCTGCCGCAGAGGAGGGCGAGGCGTGCAGCTCGCGCGCGGGCGCGGGGCCGCGGGAGCCGCGGGGGGGGGCAGCGGGCAGCCTCCCCGAGCAGCGCGGAGCGCCCCGGGGAGGCGAGCAGGCTCAGGGGAGGAGAGGGCACCCCTACCCAGAGATCCAGCGTACTGACAAACGCAGGACGATTTTTTTCCGCATTTTTCGGCCTCTCAGGGGCCCTCCCCAGACCCTGGGGCCATCAAAAAACGGCTCGGTATGAAAAACCGGTCCTGGGGACTGGGTCTAGACTTCTGGGGACCCCGCATTGACAAAATCACGACATCGGATCTTTGGGTACCTCTACACTTCCCTCGTTTTTCTTTTTTGGGGGCCTCCTGGGAGGGCCTCGGCGCCACCGCTGGATTCGGCTCGAAATCTTGGTCAGACCGCATCCCGGGAGAACTCGGAACTCCGAACTCGGAAATCCGCGAATAGACGCCAGAGGGCATCGTTGCCGGGGGTGTGCGCTGCGCTGAAGACGCCATGCAGACCGAACCTGGGAGAGGTCGGGGCAGCAGCGGTATCGGTACCTTTCGGGTTTCCCAGAGGCTGGGGGGGACGTCAGAGGGAGAAGGTCGGCTGCTCGTGAGAGGGACCCTTCGCCAGAGTTCGAGGGAACGTAAGCATGGGGTTGAGGCGCGTGGGTGAGCGACGGGTGCCGCTTCCATGTGAATTCGGCGCGCGCCGTCGCCAACTTGGGCGGCCCTGGCCTCATGGGTCAGGGGTGCCTTCCCCGATCCATGTCAGCGTGCGCCCGCAGCGTGGCCCCTGGTGCGGGCCCGCAGTGGCCCCCCCCCCGCACTGGCCTGCGCGCTTGGAAGGGGGCCCACCCTGGCCCCCAGCAGCCGCGCACCAGGTGCCACTCTTGCCCAGGGTCCACCCCCCCCTCCTCCTCCCCCTCCTCCTCCTCCTCCTCCTCCTCCTCCTCCCTCCTCCTCCTCCCTCCTCCTCCTCCTCCTCCTTCCTCCCCCTCCCCTCCCCTCCTCCTCCCTCCGCGTCCTCCTCCTCCTCCTCCTCCTCCTCCTCTCCTCCTCCTCCTCCTCCTCCTCCTCCTCCACCTCCCCCCCCCCCCTCCCCCTCCGCGTCCATCCCCTCCTCCTCCTCCTCCTCCTCCTCCTCTCCTCCTCCTCCGCGTCCTCCTCCGCGTCCTCCCCCTCCTCCTCCTCCTCCTCCTCCTCCTCCTCCTCCTCCTCCTCCTCCTCCTCCTCCTCCTCCTCCTCCTCCCTCTCCTCCTCCTCCTCCTCCTTCTCCTCTCCTCCTCCTCATCTCCCCCCTCCTCCTCCTTCTCCTCCTCCTCCTCCTCCTCCTCCTCCATTCCTTCCACTTGTAGATAAGACTCTGGCGGGCAGCCGAGAAGGCTACGCGGAAGGCGGCGGAACTTTTCTCTGGCAACAGATAATGGCATAAGCATAACATCTCGGAGGTCCGCGCGGATTTCTCGGATCGGCGTTTGACCCCCCCCCCCTGGCGCGCGGAACCCGCCAGGGGCGGCGCCGGAGTCGCCGCCAGGGGGCCCCAGCGCCGACCCGAGACATCCGCGCGGACCTCTGAGTTTCTAGGCTTGTGCCGTTGTTTCTTCCCCTATTCTCCCAGAGGCCCTCTCCCCAAGACCTCTTCTGCGCACTCGGGGCTCCTCCTGCGCGGAGCGCGGAGCGCCGCGGGAGCGCCCAGTTTTGTCCGCCGGCCCGCCCGCGCTCGGCGGGGGCGGGCCGCTCGGCGTGTCCGTGCCTGCCGCCCGCACTCGGCCGGCTCGACGTCCGTGCCCGGTCTCTCCGTGCCGGCTGGTTCTTTTGCCCCTCCTCTCGGGGGTGGACAGAACCCCCAACAGTGACACGTCGATTAGTGAATTGTCCGTTTTCGGCTCTCGAGAGGGCGCCGTGGCCGTTATTTTCCAGGCTTGCGTCCGCCAGGTTTGGGCCTCAGGTCGTTTTCACTAAACCACGTTTTATTAAAGGGAGGTCTGTCCATCCCCGATCCTCGAGCGGCTGCCGCGCGGCCCGGGCCCAAGTGCTCGCTGCACCAAGCCAGGGGTCGCAGGCCTAGAGATTGACACCAACACCAATTTCGGCGGTGTGCCTCCGCCGAGGGAAGAAGATCCCGATCTCGGCGATGGTGGTCATATTCTGGCCTCCAAGGTGGCCGAACTATTACCACCAGCACCGAAAATCTAGGATCGCCTTCCCCCCGTGGAGGCAACCCCCTGTCTTGGTGTTGGTGCCGATTTCCAGGCCTCCGAAGGGGCACGGTCAGGGGGGGGACGACTGGGCTCAGGGGGGCGGGGGGGGAGGGCCTGGAGCTTCTGAGCTTCGACGTCCTCGGCCTCGGGGCGCCTTCCAGCAGCTGCGCCTCGCCGAGCCGCCAGGGCCCCGAGCTGTGGCCCGAAGGCTCCGGGGGAGGCGCCGACCCCCCATCGCCCACTCCTCGCCGATGGGGGCCCGGCAGCCCGCCCCGCACAGGGGGGCCTGCCGCCGATCGGTCGGCAGTGCATCGCCGCCGCAGGCTCGAGGTTTGCCCCCCGGGCCCAGACCCCCGACGTCCTGATTTTCTGCGCAGCGGGGCTTTCTGGAGGTCTCCACCGCTTCCCCAGGACTGGCTTTGCGTCCGGAGCTGTTTCTATCGACGGTTCACGGAGGCTGGTGAAGGAGGAGGAGGAGGAGGAGGAGGAGGAGGAGGAGGAGGAGGAGGAGGAGGAGGAGGAGGAGGAGGAGGAGGGAGATGTCAAACTAGCAACGAATTTTCGCCATGATTTTCCACAGTGCGGGGCTCAAGACTTTTCCGGCGATTCAGGCTCGATGTCCCCCCCTGAGCCAGTCCCTCCCCTGACGTTGCCCTTCCACTCACTACCGCTTAGCCTATCCCTACCCCCACCAGCCATGGTCTCGCAGCCTAACCATCCCACCACCCCAATTGGGGGTTGGCCCCTTGAAGCCCGAGGGGAACATCATATCTCTCCGAGCTAAGGGGTGAATCGGCCAGTGGGGCCCAGGCCACGCCAGTGGGGAGATTAGGCGCTCGATCATGGACCCCCTGTTGAAGGCAATCATTCAGCTTCCGCGTCGAAGACCGCTGGGAACCGTCAGAAGACCGCCGAAGACCGCCGAAGACTGCCCAGGAGTGATGGGCAACAAGGGGCCCACTGCCGAAGACGTCAGAGATAGGGATCGGGTCAGCGGTGCCCCTCAACCGCGCGCAGAGGGGGGTGTGGAGAGGGGGGAGGGCTTCTTAGAAATACCCCTGCTTCTTACAAGGTGCGGGTCTGATCTATAGATGTAGGGCCGCCGCCTTCTAAGAAGAAGCCTCCTTCTAAGAAGCCCTCCCCCCTCCCTCCACTCCCTTGTGCGCGCCGCCAAGCTGCTCTTCAACCTAGCTACACGGCCGTGGGCGAACGCCACAGGTTTTGCAGCGCCCACTTCCGTCGCGGGGACCCAGCCGCGCGCGGTGTCTTCGGCGGCGCGCAGAGGGGGGCAGGGCTTGCCAGGAGCGGGCGGGGGGGAGGCAGCCTTTTCACTTCCTCTTCCTCCTCCTCCCCCTTCTCCCTCCTCCTCCTCCTCCTCCTTCTCCTCCCCCTTCTCCCTCCTCCTCCTCCTCCTCCTCCTCCTCCTCCTCCTCCTCCTCCTCCTCCTCCTCCTCCTCCTCCTCCTCCTCCTCCTCCTCCTCCTCCCCTCCCCTCCTCCTCCTCCTCCTCCTCCCTCCTCCTCCTTCTCCTCCTCCTCCTCCTCCTCCTCCTCCTCCTCCCTCCTCCTCCTCCTCCTCCTCCTCCTCCTCCTCCCCGTCTCCCTCCTCGTTGATGCGCCTTGGGTTTACCCCGGTCCTCCTCCTCCTTTTCCCCCTCCTCCTCCTCCTTGTCTCCTTACCTGGCCCAGCCCGCTTCTGCTCGGCGCCCGCATATGCCGCGCACGGAGGCCCCATATCGATTCCAGAGGGCCCCCGAAGGGGTCGCGCGCAAAAAGCTGGACTCGGTCGCGGCGGCGGCCGCGGTCATCTTCTGCCCGTCGCGCCTGTCACTCTCGCTCGGTCCTCCTGTTCGATGGACGATAGAGGAGGGGGAGTACGAGCAGGAGGAGGACCCGGAGGAGGAGTAAGAGGAGGAGGAGAAGGAAGAGGGGTAGGAGGAGAAGGAGGAGGAGGAGAAGGAGGAGGATGAGGATGGAAACGGAGGTGAGGAGGAGGAGGAGGAGTTGGAGGAAGAGGAAGAGGAGAAGGAGAAGGAGGAGCATGTACGAAAATACGGAGGATGTGGAGGTTATCTGAGGAGGAATACGGATGATGATGATGAGTTAATGATGACGGTGATGATGATGCTGATGATGATGACGACGGTTATTCTGATTCTGTTGATGATGAGGATGATGCTGATGATGCTGATGCTGATGATGATGCAGATGACGATGATGATGCTGATGCTGATGACGATGGCGACGACGGCGATGATGATGGTGATCATTATGATGATGCTGACGATGATGGTAGTGGTGAGGACGCTGTTGCTGATGCTGGTACTGGTTCTGATGATGCTGACACTGATGCTGCTGATGATGACGATGATGATGATGCTGATGCTGATGCTGATTATGAGGATGCTGTTGATAATGATGTTGGTGATGCTGCTGTTGATGATGCTGAGGCTGATGATCTGATGATGAGGAGGATGATGCTGATGATGCAGATGACGATGCTGATGTCGATGACGATGAAGATGTTGATGAGCATGACACTGATGTTGATGGTGATGATGCTGCTGATGATGGTGATGGTGCTGATGCTGTTGCTGATGCTGATGCTGATCCTGATGCTGCGGCTGATGCTGATGATGGCGATGGCGATGACGATGATGATGATGCTGATGATGCTGGTGATGATGATGCTGATGATGATGCTGATGACGATGCTGATGCTGATGCTGGTAATGATGACGATGACGATGATCATTATGATGATGCTGATGATGGTGATGATGCTGATACTGACGCTGGTGATGATGCAGATGACGATGATGATGCTGATGATGATGACGACGATGATGATGCTGATGCTGATCATGATGATTCTGCTGAAGATGATGCTGATGATGATGATGACGATGACGATGATGATGATGCTGATGATGGTGATCTTGACGATTGTGCTGATGCTGATGCTCATGCTGCTGATGCTGCCGATTCTAATGATGATGACGATGATGGTGATGATGATGCTGATGATGTTGCTGATGGTGATGGTGATGGTGATGGTGATGGTGATGATGATGATGATGATGATGATGATGATGATGCTGATGATGACGACGGCGACGATGATGATGATGATGATGACGACGACAATGATGCTGACGATGCTGATGCTGCTGATGACGATGCTGATGCTGATGCTGATGATGAGGATGAGGATGCAGATGATGCTGCTGCTGATGATGATGTTGCTGATGGCGGCGACGACGACGAATATGAAGATGATGCTGATGCTGGTGCTGATGATGATGCTGATGCTGCTGATGATGATGATGATGAATCATGATGATGGTGACGATGCTGACGATGATCATGGTGCTGATGCTGATGCTTCTGCTGCTGCTGATGAGGATGCGGATGCTGACGATGATGCTGATGATCATGCTTATGATGATGGTGATGATGATGACGATGGTGTTTATGCTGCTGATGCTGATGGCGATGGTTATGCTGATGATGGTGATGATGATCATGATGATGATGCTGATTATGCTGACGACGACGGCAACTATGATGATGTTGAGCATGATGATGATTATGATGATGATGATGATGCTGGCGATGATGATGGTGGTGATGCTGACGATGTTGCTGAGGCTGATGCTGGTGCTGATGCTGACGCTGATGCTGCTGGTGATGTTGACGACGACGATGATGATGAATTTGCTGATGATGATGATGATGATG